AAAGGTACTCAAATATCACGGTCAAGGAATAGTGGAACGGTTGAGTGCATCATACAACAACCACCACTCCAATGGCTATAAAAAATAATTTGTTTCTAAACTTTGGTCGATAAAAGTTACTATATTTTTTTAGCTAAAATTTAATTACTTTCACTAAAACAAACATATCAAGTAAAATCAACTACCTTTTACAGTTTCACCCCAAATTCAATGCACGATGATGCTTAAAAACACTGGAAATGGGCAAAGGAAAATGAGAGGTGCAGAGATCTGAGTGAGGGGCAGTGGTCAAAAAATGTCAAATTATTATATCATCATTACACTATCATTACTATACCATCGTTACACGTGCCATGATCCTGACGGCTACATTCATGGATGGGCTGGGGACCGTAGGATCTGAATTGGGACTATGACATTTGAGTATGACTGGCTTTATTAAATACTACATATTTTCAGGATATTCGCAGTGGTCGAGGCACTTTTTTGCATGAAAAAAGTTGAGCTCGAAAATTGAAAATGGCCCCCTAAAAGAGAGGACTCGAAATGGAATTTGGAAATATGTGAAATCAGTTCAGCTTTTTCTGCGGTCCGAATTTTTTTCAATTTGGATGTATATATTAGTACCGAGGCCAGCCTTAGTAATTGTTGCAATGAATCTACATTCACAACTTTATTTTGGATTTTGATGTTATATTTCATCAATAAAATAAAAGTACACATTTGTTTCATCTGTTTTGTCTAATCCGTTAAATTCTTGTTAAAAAATTGAGCCTTGACTGTTTTTTAGGTAAAATTTGACGAATGGCGTAGTTGATTAAATTATTATAATACTAAGAAAACATTGTTCCAATCCTCCAGCCTGCCATTATGTGACGCCCACATCACATATCAATTTGAAATTATCAATTCCATCCTTTTAATACGTAAATTCAAATTTTATCATACATTACGTTTGCAGATCACATATCAAATTAAAGTTACTAATTTCATCTTTTTAATACGCAACTTCAATTTCATCGTACAATATATTTATACACACATATATTTGTACATGTGTTCTTTAATGTTCGCCAGTGTGCTTTTATAAATGTGAGTATGTGACAGGTGAAAACTAAACGCAGTACGATTGCACTGCATGAACATGTACTTCCTCCTTATGCATAGTATCAATTTTCAATAATAAACTTAAACTTTGAGCAATGATATTGCAATAAATGATATGCATAATACTCATAAAATTAATGACATTGGAAAAGCTAGGGTTTGCTAATAATGGTACAAGAAATCACCAATCAAGTGAAATTGTATAATGGTAAACTTGAGAATCAGCTCAAAAGCAATTCCTCATCAAGTCTTGATGTAGCCGACAAATTGTCAAAAGGGTATATTATATTATCATCATTCTTAGATGTGATGGTATTTCTTAATATTTTGTATGAAACATTAATAAAAAATAATAATGACATGTTTGAGATGTGGTCAACAAACTCAGTCAATGCGTTCAAAACAATAGGCTACATCATCCAACCATCTCATTCTATACAAACACACACACACACATACATACTCACACTCACACGTGTGTTTTGATCCAACGATTAAAAACAACCGGAAGGTTTAAATGTTCTCTTATGAGNACGATCTAAAGGCTGGTTGGTTGGCTTCAATTGCACGTTGCTTCTTCAACGTTAGAGCTAGGTGACCCCTGAAAAAAAAAAACAGAGAAAATTACAGTCATTAGAACAACTCGAAAACGAACAAAAATGAAAACAAAAGTTTTCAAGCAGAAAAGAATCGAGCTAATTTTCATAAAATCTTACAGGGGGTGCCTTGGACTGAAGACTGGTAATGACTGACTTGAGCAAATTGTCCCCAACAATCAGTCTCAGCTTTTTCACGAATGCCTCACGACTCATCTTCTTATTCTGCCACACATCAAAGCCGAGAGGCAATTGAAAAGTTCAGAAAAAAGTTAGTAGAGCAGAATAAAAGGAAGAGGATATTGAAATGTCAGCAAATTCACATACCCTGAATAGTGCATAGTTAGTTTTCACGAGATTCATCGTTTCAGAAGTGACTTTGTTGGCAATGGCAGCAAACAGCATAGGAAATGGCATCCACGGGCTCTTAGGAGCCCTTGCTTGAACAGTTTCACCTAGCACCTAGTGTAAGAACTTCTCTGAGTACAGAAAATTGGATTGTGAAATGAAACAAAAGAAATCTTTTTTAAAAAAATAAAAAATCTTTTCATAGCCAACGTTACCGGGATATAAACAGAAACCATAGCTAGCTTAAGAAAATTATCAGACCCCGCAAAAAGAAAAGAAAAAGGATTAAACAAAAGAGCTCTGCGTAATCAAACAGATTTTTACCCATAGTCATCTAATTCAAGATGAGCTAAGCCTACCCACAACATACCTGCATCCAAGTTATCAATGTTTTTAACTATTATAGTTTTGGGCCACCCAAACACCAAAAGAGTGTTTTTCAAACAAGATAAATTTGAAGAGAGCCATGCCTAAGGAAATATCTCAGCTTACCAAGCAACTACGTATTATAATCAAATGGAATTCAGTCGAAAAGGAATAATAACCAAAGAAATTCACTATGCCACTCAATATTCCAGCAGCTCTTCTAATAATATGGCAAATAGCTCCAAGTAGCAGTTGACACCAAATTCAAGTGAACATAAACAATACGGAGGTGGCAAAAAATACAAATATCATGCAAGAAAAAGGATCATAGAAAGAATAAAATCAGTGTGTCACTTCAAATCAATGCAGTAAAATGCTCATGCTATTGGAAATCTACACATCTAATGCTGAGGTGACACCACAACACACACAAGAAAAGTCCTTTGTATGTACAGTGACCCTAAAAACTACCTATGTCCAGACGATTGTACCTGAATTTGAGATCGTTCACGATTGTCGTACTCAGGAATACCAATCTCGTTCGCTTTCCCGCAAACGGGCTCTGTAGAAGCATTAAAGGAATACAAGCTCAATTGCAAAATGAAGAAGGGGTAAGAACTCAACAATGATTATGAATATGCAATATACCGAACCTTTACTACTAGAATTAAGAGTGTGAAAGATAGCAATATCTATATGAGAAATATATCAAAAACAAGCTTTTTATCATTTTACACAGTGGGTCAGCTCTTCAGCAGAATACACTATAGTAGTACTAGAGAGCGAATGATAATACAAATATGCAGTAATCAAACTTCTTCATAAGCAAGATGTACTTATTATCTCTGTCAAGAGAGAAGAAATTTCAGTATAGCAACCAGCAAACTTATATAAGCCATCAGTTTGGTCAGTCACGTGATTAAAAACTGAAAGCTCATGACAAGCATCATCAAGAAAATGATAGAAGTTCAAAAAGTAGGGAACAGAAAAGACAATCGCCTACATATTCCAATGAAAAAAGAAACGAAATGCAAGGGTAAACTAGTACCTTCAATATTTGAAGTCACCTTGAAACTTACAACACATTCCGGGTATATGTGAGTGTTCATATTCATGTTCCATACTACATAAAGATTTGTATTTTCAAGTCTGTCAACACCGCTATCATAGTCTTCACTACTTGGCAGGAACTGATCTGAACCACAGGAAACAGTCTCCATATTCCCCAATATAACACGACAAAGTACCATATGTCGTGTATCATTTTCGTCAACATCAAAAAAACTGATACTGAAAAAAAAAATAACAAATTGTATAGTTCCAAACAAGTGTTTACATAAAAATACAGCATTACCATGGACTTCCAAATTAAAAATAAATAGATAAATAAATAAAATAAAATAAAAAATCCTTCGAAATTACATCAATCGATATAGAATGTTTCAGCATTATAGACACTGTATTATGAGTCAATAGGAAACAATGCAAAGCAATAACACCCTTAAGAAATCAATACAAATGTCATTTTCCATAGAAAAGATAAACTCTCAATGGAACAGATCTGAAACAACGTAACGCCATCCACATACATAGTAAAAGAAATAGGAAATATTAAGCCTAATGAAATGCAAGAGAAACTTTGTAACCATAACTGTAAGCATCTTTGGGACATTTCTAAACCAAAATATCCTTTGCTAAGTTGTGTCAGCTTAAGTGCACCAGTTCGACACATCATCAACCACTATATCAAGAAAGATGGATAATCTACAGATATTTCATCGAGTGCAAGACACAAAGGAGTCCTTCCTCACGCTAGAGCTACTTCACCATATTCTGGCACAAAATGTACTTCTATGTGATTGCCCCATACTAAAACTTACTCTTTTTGCCACTCAACTTTTCCACTTTTTTTTTTCTCACGGTAAACATAAACAAAATATGTTAACAACCAATAATTATTTGTTAAGTTTCTTATTTAATTATAAACCCAAACTTTTTGAACCAATGTGAATTTTGACCACAATCCATATGTTTAAAAAAGGAAAAACAAAATACTTGCAACAGTATTAGAAAAGATTAGAGAACTAAAGTTCAATCAGAAGTAATCACCTAACAATTTGAATCCTATTCTTACTCTTATTTTGGTATAGGAATTGCCAATATCTAATATACAGTAAAATTATCATTTTGTATAAGCACTCAGATTTATTCAACTTTCAGTAACTTTGCCAACATTATTTCAGTAATTTTGTATAAGCACTCAGATTTATTCAACTTTCAGTAACTTTGCCAACATTATTTCCTAACATATCATAATATCCTAAACTCATATATTTCTACAGAAGAAAAAAAGAAATTGTATGACATTTTGCTCAACTTATCAAGCTTCTTTCTGAAGATGAAGAACAGAAAATGAGATAAAACACACAAACACACATTAGGCTTTACTTTCTTAGGACATACATGTTAAGGTGAAAAAACCTAACAAATAGACTATTAAGTGCAGTAACTATATAACATGAGTCATACAACCAAATCAGTTGTTTTAGAATGTATGTAACAAAAGATAGTTTATTTAACTTATCTAATGCCAGGAATCCTTGTCATATCTGCAAAGATAACATAACACATCACACTTCACTTTCTTAGGGCATACGTCGAAAGGTGAAAAAACATAACAATTTTAAACAATTAAGTGCAATATCTATAGCATGGATCGTACATATGACAGAATCTCAACACAACATTCCACTTCCATAAGGTTCAAAATCGTAAACTGTGAACTCATAAACTTTGGATTGCACAATCTAACAAAAGAAAAAAATAGTTTAATTAACTTATTCAGGCATACTCGTTTTGTCAAAGAAAGAAGGAAAAGAATTTGGAGTTCCATTTTCTTTTATTTTTTTCTTTTTTTTTTCTTTTGTCAGATTAGTATGTTATGATGAGTCATCTAAGTGAAAGAACACCAAGTATATACAAATTCATAATATCATCAACAGTATTCTCCAATTAGCATGAAACAACAATCCTTAAAAATAAAAATAAAAAAATAAATGGACAAACACTTAGAGCAGTCTTATAGCCCGAAAAATAGTTAAAAAAAAAAAAGACAGTATAAAAACCAAACCTGATCTGAGTGCCATTTGTAGGGATTAGATGTAGCCCATTACCATGAGGAGGATTGACTTTAAATTGATCATGATAGGCCACCCCATATTTCAGTACAGCTGAAACTGTCCGACTCGAACAAGGAAGCCATGCATATTGGACATTGGCATCCCCACGGTACCTTTTAGTGATATTAACCTGCTTCTGAAAGAGTTCCAAACGACCATCCATTATTATGCTCATGCAAGGACGTATATCAACAATGTTTGCATCTAATGAGCCAACCGCTTTCAAAAACAGCTCCCTCACAGCATAAGAATTCAAGGGCCTATCTCCTGTATTAGCAGCCAGGATCATTTTTCCTTCCACTTGTTGATAATCCTTACAATTCTCATCAATTTCAACGTCTGATGTTTTCCCATAAATATTGGTTTCGTCACCACTACCTTCCTTTGCAGTATTGCCACGAGCTTGTACGTTAACAACAATCGGAGCAGACTCCGCACTAGATTCATCATTGAATCCTTGTATCTCAATCTCTAAATTCAAGTTGATTCCATTGAGATCCTGAGTCTCAGCACCCTGGTGGCTACGACCTGCGGCACCAAGATTGTCATCGTGAAGACAAAGTACTTCTGGGAAGAAACACTTTCCCGAAACATCAATCCAAGCAATAGGCTGATGAAGACCAGTTTTCATGTCCAACTTAATCATCTGCAAGAAGTCTAGCAAAATCATATTTCCGTCAACCTCGACTTCCACAACAGATTTCTTAACAACAAATTCTTTGTTGACAGCTGTTACAATATCCTGGGAAAAATCATTCCACTCATCATTGCAGCAATACATCAAACGGTACAACCTCCCACTTCTCTTGAAGTTGGAATAGTATTTAAGCACACATTTCCCAGGCAGAAAAGAAAAATTGCAATAATTGCTTTCTGATGTCTCCAATTTCCTCCGTTTAGCGATGTTGCAGTCGGCAATCGGAGAAGACCTCTGAGGCAACAGCAGACGAATGGGCCCATCAGAAGTTATGGAGCGTGGGTCTGATTGCTTTCTCTTAAGATTAACAACTGCTCGACAGTTATCCAACACCTTTCCGGCCTTTATGTTCATCTCGGCCTAGTGGATGAATGCCTGAACACCAGTTCAATGCCAAGAAGGCAAAGGAAAAGATTTTTGACAACTTCCTTTTGGTTTTGCCTCAAAGGAACAAGGCCATTGGTAACAGCAGAGACAACCTGAACATAATATTTAACCATAAATAGAAAATTGCACTATCAATAGAGCAGTCGTCATGCTACCTCTTAAAATTCTTAAAAATAACATGAGGGTTAACATCTAAATTTCTGGTGATTCAACTTAAATACACCTGAGCGCACGGGCACACACACACACATGCAGAGAGATAGAGTGAGAGAGAAATAATCACATGATAGCATATTCAAAGTAATAATATCAAAGTTTTATGATCCTTTATCCTTCCATGTAGAAGAATAATTAATCAGTGACTTGTTAAGTATCAACAACACTTGTCAGTCATGAATCAGCTATTCATATTTCCAATAATAAAATTTCCAATTAATGATATTGAACACCAGCTTACAGTACAATCTCAATGAGACTGAAAAATATTTGTGCTGGCACTGAAATAGCACAACTATGATGACCTCGTGATCAGCTTTAGAGTGGATGCAAACTTCGTAATGGGTTGTTTCCACAGGTGAAAANGGTTTTTTTTTTTCTTGTGTCATCCCATCATCAGATGAAATTTTGACAATCCAATCCATGGAAAGCACATGCACATTTTAATTTCATCTACCATGAATCATAGCTTCCATCCTTTTTCACGAACTAACTATAGTTTATTACAAGCTATATCAATTCAGTACTTGAAAAAATGTCTTTTGAACTGAATTTTAACTGGGGAATAGCACGTGCAAAACTCAGTTGTGTTTCGTGTTTAATAAGTCCAAAACATCAATAAGAAATAAGACTTCAACTTTAACAGGAAAATCTTCCAGTACCTACGGAAAGGTGTAAGGCTTAAAGGTTAATATTTCCAGCTCTAACGCCTAAGTGAGATCGTCACTAGCAGAAAGTAGACTGTCGGTCAATAAAAATGGGACAAGCAGTAACTACCATGATCGATAAATCCACTATAAGTAAACAAAGTTAGGGACCTAAAGTGCTACGGGAGTTAAAAGTGATTTGTAAAAAATTTCTAACGGGCAGAGCATGCGACGGAGAATTAGTTAAAATAATCGTCTGCATGCAGGCACCGCCCGCACCAGAAGGCTGTGTTATCCTTATTCTTGTATAAAAACAAGATTTTTCTCTCAGAAATTGTATGTGTGTGACAGAGAGTGGAGGAGAGAAGCAGCAATAAGAACAATAACTACAAGAAAACTTAGAAAATTAAACATATTGGTCAAACAATAACCTGAGCAAGTTTGATAAAACAGACAAGTAACTTAACTCACCAATGCCTTAAACAATTCCATTTAATTTCTGAATTCTGAAATGTATTAAATCTACAGAAAGGAAATGCTCAACGGGAGTCCCAAATCATTAGCTTGGGATAAGATAACAGCATTGGACACTAGCACATCGATCCTGGAGCTCCTTCTCTGCATCTAGCCTAGATGTTTATCCTTTATTCTAACGAAAACTAAATGCATTAATGCAATTTAAAAAGAAAAATAACCTATACTCACTTATTAGTTCTCTCCATACAGTAGACTGATGGAAGGTGCAATGGGTGATGACAAATGGCAGCTCAAGTACAAAAATTAACATTTACTCACTTTGAGTCATATAAACTTATCTTTAAAAAGAACACCACAAAATGATAGCTGACTCAACACGAGATACAAACTTCAAGAAGCATGTCTCTAATATTACTAGGAAATGGAAATTCAATGCCCCAAGCTTCAAAGAAACATAAGAAGTAAATAGTCTAAAGTCCATCTCAAGCATCTCGATACTCACTACAATAAACAAGTAACCCGGATTCACCCGCTGCCACAATGACCTGTAATATTATGAACACACCCATGATTCTAAAGACACATTGGCAGGCGAGAGTCATGTATGTGCCATCAGGTGCTAGCATGGCCACATAAATATCATTCAGTGAGTGGGACATAAATGAGGAACAACATATACACACTAACTCTGTAATATACTAAATACTACTCAAGCCAATTCCATATAGTTAATCAAAAGATCACAAAAAGTAACAAGATGTAATTCAGCTAATCATAAAGGTTTGAAGAATCTGGATAATTTCGATTTCAGGCACAACGAAGATAATTCCGATTCCTAACCAATCCATACTGAAATTCCAATTCCAACTTAATCCAAGCAAAACTACTAACCGAATTAAAAAGGCACATCCAAATCTTAACCAATAACCATAAGGTAATAACAAATCAAGCCACAAACCCAAAACTCAAACTGGTTTTCAGAAAGTAAATAACCCCATACTTCCAATAACTACATGAACATGACGCCAGAACCATAACCCACAAAAATACATGTGTCGTGAAGCATACATATTTCAAACTAATGATAAACAGCAAAGGAATCATTGCGCTGATTTTGATATTCTCAAAAGATCCCAACAAACTAATAATTCCCATGAAACAAAAAATCCTTCTTTACCATAAAAGAAAGGTAACAAACACACAATAGAAACGAAAAATCAGAGAGAACCTCGATCGACAACACTTTACACCAAAAACAACTGAAACCGCAACTCCAATTATTAAAAAAAGATAAAATTCCATACGAAAATTGCACATGAGAACTATCGGAAGGTGATTGCAGCATACATTTAATCAGAGAGGTCGTCGAATTTTTTCAATCTTTTCTTCTCCAATGATGCTGCTGTTTTTTGAAGCCCTAGAAAAAAGAAGGGAATCCAAATATTAAAAAGTGGGGATAAACTAAACTAAAACTAAAAGCCACCGCTTACCATTTTGCTTCGTGAAAAAATGTAAATTGACGTAATTGCCCTCATACAGTGCTTGCGCCTCAAGTAAAAGGATGTCTTTTTCTTGACGAAAGGATTTTCTGTCCATTCAGTGACGTGGGGGGATAAACGAACGAAAATTCGTTTATCAATTTGGGATTAAGTGTGTGATTATGGCGCTAGTTACTATAATTGATCCTAATTACTTTGGGAACCTGAGAGTTGAGAGAATATATTCCCATAATTATAAATAGGTACATAAAGAAATTATTTTATTCCTTTTAATATAACCTTACAATAAGTGTTAGATTTTTTTATTATTGTTTTAGAGCATCTCTAATGCTCTAATGTTGTTATTGGATAAATTTTGACAAATATCAAAATATTAAATAGATTGTGAACCATGTAGAACAAATGTTGAGTTCACAACTATTAAATTAAAAAACCATCTCCAATGCACAATGTAGTCTAATCACAATATTATCAACTTACCAAATATTAAAATTTTAATATAAATTAATAAAATTAATTAAATAATTAAATAGTTTGAAAATGATAGTAATAATTCTCTCTCTTCTCTTCATTGGCTAGCTAGAGTGTGGAGGAGAATGTGAATGAACCACATTCCTCTCTACATTGTAGACATTAATTATGTTCATATCACCACAACATTTGTAATCACATTGTACATTGGAGAATAAAAAGTTGTGATATTAATAAATGTGTTGATGTTGAATATAATTTACCACTACAACATTGAGCATTGGAGATGCTCTTAGCTCGAGAAATTTGTCATTCTAGGTATTGACTCGATTTTAACTGCTTGAGATCGGTACGAATTTCTTCAACTCGAATTTTGCTAGGGTTGGATTGGACTCAAATTTTCAATAAAAAAAAATATTCTAATTTTTTTCGTGTTTGGCTTTGATTGAGGCCGAATAGGAGTATTTAGGTAAATTATATTTATACTTGAATGACTCGTCAAGCACTCAAGCTTATAGCATATAAGGTCGCATTTGAGTTTGAGAGTGCCCGAGCTCGATTTGTGTTTGGTGAGCCAAGTTTTAACTCGAGCGGTAGCACCTTGCGAGCCGTTTGTTAATCTGCAACTCAATTGTAGATTTTTTTAGTTTTAATGTAATTTTTTATTAATTTCATAATTTTCTACATTTGATAATACTTTATATTGATACATATTTATATTTTTGTTAATGTCTAATGCTTTCAAATGTATATAATATTTAGTCAAATTAAATTATATATACCATAATATTTAATATTTCTTATTTATCATTATTTGTCATATGTGATTTATTAAATTAATCACATTTGATTTTAGTTTGCCATTCATATTGCATGTAAAATATTAACCATACATATATTTATAAATACAAATTAATTATTTATCAATTATTATAAATATTAAACGGGCTAGTTGTAGCACTAACTTTATCGGGTTTGGGTTAAACAGTCCAAGTTGAAAAGACCTAATTTAAACAGGCTACAAATAAAAGAACATAACATTAACTCTGGCGGGCCTCAGACTAAATGAGTCAAAAGAGCTAGAAGCCTACTAAAGCCATTAAGTTGTAAAAAAGTCCACATAATCTTTGTAAGGCCAAGATTGCAGCCAAGATTGACCAGAGCCAAAGATCGCCCCCGCCGGAAGACCCTACCTACTAGGCTGAGCATGGGACTCGGAGAATTTCGAACCGTTCAGAAAACCAAACCGAAAAAACTCCGAATCGAAAAATAACCGTTGACTGTTTGACTTTCTCCGAACCAAACCGAACCGAAAAAATAATTGGTACGGTTCTGAAGATTTCACAAATATTCATACCGAGAACCGAACCGATCTGTCTCATACCATACCGAACCGAAGAACCGAAATCAAGAACCAATTTATAACATTAGATGTGTGTTATTAATATATTTTATGTCAACTTTAATCATATATAAATTGATAAATAGAAATAAAATATAGTAATAACAATTAAGATTCACTTAAATTTAATGCTTAGTAATAATTGATCTACAATTGAATTTTTCCTCTTGTTCCGATAGTCACGAATACTGAACCCTGAACCTTGAACCGAACCGAAAAATAAAAATGTTTGAACCGAACCGTCCGAATTTTTTGGTACGATTCTGAAGATCAAATTTAGTGATTTCCAAATTTTGGTACGGTTTCGAAGATTTCTCAATCTACGAACCGTACCGACTCCTACTCACCTCTTACTGCCTACCGAACACCAGGGAAAGAGAGGCGCGGACCTCATCCTCAATCAATACGAAGGTAGCAATTCCTATAAATATTATAGGAATTTGAAAATCCTATAATATTGTGTTATACAAATTGTGTTATATTGTGTTATACAAATTGTTGTATATTTTGCTAACCATTGCAAGATTCCCCCATTTCCATCAAATTTAACCTTCCACACATTGCTGCTAATTGTGCAAAAATGCTCAATATTGTTTCCAACCATACAATTACAACCGTTCACAAGTTGTTTCTCATTTTTTCCCAGTTATGAATAACTGTTCTCACATTTCAAAAGTGAGCATGATATGATACCTACCACCACAAGACAACCAAATATGCATACTACATTATATCCATCACTTGTTACACCTTTACTGCTCTTGCAGCCTCCTTAATCTGCTCGATTGTGAAAACCCCAAAGAAATCGTCATCGTCGATTGCATTTACTACGGCAGATGCAAGATCGTCCACGCTCACTGGAGGTGCCAATAGCAAATCCGAAGCAGGCAGAGAGTTCAAAGGTTTGGTGAAATTCTCCACAGCATTCAGAAGCTTCTCCACAGGCTCGCCTATCAGGTCAAGAGGGACCTCAAACCCGTCCACTTTTCTCTTTCCGTATATGAAACCTGGCCTGAACACAACACCTGTGTTGTTGAAGGCCAAATCGTGAAAAAAATTTCAATCGGATCCAATAGCTTTTGCCATTGCTAAGATATTTAATGATTTAGTTTTACTGAGTTACTTTAACTAGGTGGATGTAAGAGAATGAATGAGAAATTTACATGTAAGTATCGAAAGGTTTGCTGTATATTGGAACAAAATAAAAGGAAATTGTGCTATCTTTTATGGAACAGAGCATCTCCCTGTTCTTGAATTCCCATTACTGAAAAAACCAACTACAAAAAATACACAAGCATAGATAGTATTAAAGCACCTGAAGATGGATATTTGGATAGAACCTCAGATTCAGCTTTCCTTTTTCCAGTGAAGTAACCGGATGAGAGTAGAAATGATGGCAGATTATAATCATGGACCGAGATCAATATAAACTTTGGGATACCTGCAGAGCAATGAAAAATAAAAATTAACTGAAAGCTGGATAGGCCATGTAGGTAAAATGTCCATCCACAAAGATGACAAATTGATGGCATGTAAAATTCATAAAACTCCGAGCAGCTGTCATGCTGAATGACTAACCAAACAAGTCATTTTTTTATTGAAATTATTTTCTAAAGCTTCATCAAAATCTGGGAAAACTAATCCACGAGGACCGCGAACAAACTCTCAAATAAGCATTTTCTGGATAAAATTAATTTTATTACTTTATATGAAATTACAAATTTAGTGCTGATAGTATTTTGGTCCTTATAAAGCAGCTCAAAGAATGTGCGTGTATATATGAAACAAAAGTATGCATAATGCAATGCAAAACATGATGAGATAAATCATAGATTAAGCCTTAAAATTTCCTATTTTTGGTTGGTAACATGGATAATGCAAAATGGATGCTTCATAAGAACCTGAAGATGTACAAAATCTCACCATAATCTTTAGCAGCATTTACAGCCACAACATTAGCCTCCCCATTGATCCTTTGCATCTGCTCCTCACTGCCAAAACCTCCAAGCGTGGAAACCACTGCTGTAGCCCCAGGAAGAACTTCGTCCCAATTTGCATAAAATACATCTCCTGCAAGATTCCAGAATCACATAGAAATTTATCCTCCCAAAAATCAAATAAATAAGATAATAGCATACACTAGATGGAAGATCATGAGGGAAATTTATATTGGTAGTACACAAGACTTTCTAACTTGGAGGCATAAGGATTAGCACAGAGAGAGAGAGAGAGAGTTATATGGAAAGTGGAAAATGTAAAAGAAATAGGAGGTAATTTGCAACACAGAATCATCTGATGAAATGTAATCACAGGTTTTACGTTAGTCGTACTTTCTCTTTTCTTTTCCTTTTTCTTGTTCTTTTGCTTCACTCAAAACATTGTCTTTCAATTCTTAAAGGATCATTATCCACCACGTGTAAGAAAGCAAACCTGTAAGTTGATGGAGCATTTACAATGTCTATGGGCTCGCATACGACCCTTTCTGGTTAGATTTTACCAATAGTTACATTACAAACATCTGAAGCACACAAGCAACATATGAAGCACATGTTTTTACTTTACAAGGTAGATAAAACAACAACCACTGCAGAAAAACAACTTGTGACCATACAAGTCCACTATTTACGAGCTATAAATCATGAATCCAGTTC